GTACATCCCATCCGGCGGACCCTCCGCTGTACCGATGGCCCTCCACTATGATCCGAAACACCCACCTCCTTCATTGTTGTATACCATCTCCCAATGTGAGTAGGGTGCATCTCATCCGGCGGTCTGTCCGCTGGATCGACATTCCTCTGCTACAATCCGACCCCCCCTCGGCTTTACAATTGATATGCTAGGATAGCACGCTACTTCAAAGGGACTCTTCCGGCGGCCCCTCCGCTGCACAGATGATGCTCAATTATAACTCCAATGCTGTTGTCACTTCACTGTTTGCAGCATAAACAGCCACTGTTTGTTGTCCACTGATCATCCGGCGGACTCTCCGCTGATCCAAACATCTCCATGGTGGGCCGACCGTCCGCCCGCTCGAGCACCATGGGGGGGTCCAAAGTCCGCTCCATCGAGCTCCCTCGTCCGGGTGGTGCTCAACCATATGACTTGCGACTGCAGCGATGACTTATGGGATACGCCGGATGCCTTGCAGCGGCACGCGGATGGCCATCCAATACGTGCTGTCCTCGCTTGCAAGGTTGTTGATGCTGCCAATCAGACCCTTGCATACTATTTGCCACGGGCTATTTCTCTGCTCCGACATGATGTATGCCATTCACCCGAATCCTTATCCCAGTACCCGGTCTGACCAACCACCAGGATTATTGTAGAAATATCCTCCCACTGCTACAAGGGGCAATACAGAAACAGAAACCATCATCCGACAAGAACTGGAGGAAGGGTCGGCCGTATTTCTGGGATCCGGTGATGGGTAGAGTAGGGATTCTACCATCCGGGTCCATCGATATATCAGTTGGATGGTATGGTCAGGGGCAAGAGGTACGGTCTCTGGGAGGTGCTTGCATCGTTAGAGACCTTGGGGGCTGACAGTGTGGCGAACAGGCAGGTAAATTATATGCCCCACCAAGCTCAAGCGCAAATTTTCAGGGCAATCCGGATGTTTATGCATTTGTGCAGAAGTCGGACATACTATTTGGCCTTGTCAACTTGGTTCTTGCTCTTACTCATCCGACTCAGTATGCTGCCGGATGGCAAGCCCTGAAACTTTGCAAGCGTTTCCACACTACCAGTGCATGCGGCAAGGTGTGGCAGTCCGTTTTCACCGCCGTTGGGGTCATATCAAATCGTATCAGTGTTCCGCACCTGGATACGTCCGGCTGCTACCCATGGTTCGACATTTTGTTCACATCCGGTGACTACGAAGGCGGAGTTCTTGACCTGTTGGACATTGGGATACAATTTGCGTATGTTCCAGGTGCACTAGTCCCACTATGTGGAAAGATCTTCCGACACCAAGTACCGAAAGTGGAGGGTAATAGAGTATGTAGTGCTTTTTACATGAGAAGAAATGTCCACCAATGGGCTGCAACTGGAGAGGCACAATATTCAGATTCGTAGGGACTACATACTTGTCTCATATCATACCATATATATGAACAATGGCAAACATAGTTAAAATTATCGTTTACTGGATTGGGTTGGATTCAGGCGTAGACTCTGTCTAGGTCCCTTTTCCGTGGCAACCGGATCCGGTGGATTCAATCTGGCGCTTTTCCTTTGGCCTGTATCTCCACAGGAATTTGTAGACGCCCTGTCCGATATTGTGAGGGTCCTGTCCCGCTTCTTGGTAGCCGACAACTGCTCGGATGGAGCCTCCCCCGACCCGGATATAACACTGGACAACCACTGGGCAGCTGGCGACGACGACGGAGGTTGCAGAGGGGAGTGGTCTCCACCGGATGCTCTATTGTTGCACCCGTCGTCAGATAATGGCCCAGCAGCCAGAGCGTGCTCATCCTCTGATGTGTCGATTGACGGCACACCTGACGCGCACTCAGACAGAGTCGGAGGGAGCGTCGGATGGTCCGGCAACACGCCTGTGCGTTGATCAGATTCAACGTCACCAACGGACCCTGTCGGGACAGGAGAAGTTAAGGGCACAGGTCTGGCTTCTGTGGGAACAGGAATTTCTACGTCGGACGGAGTGTGGTTGCTGGGTTCTGCCGGAGGGGAAGCAGCTGACAGGGCAGAAGTGTTGGATTGAGGGAGTTCAGTTGGCGATTGTGAGGGATCTGCTGGAATTGCAGCACTAGTGGACATAGGCCCAGTAAAGTCCATTGCAGGCAATGGGACGAGAGCAGGAGGCAAATGTCCCAAGGGTGGTTCTGCTGCAGTCGCCACAGTTGGGGATAGCTCGACAGCAGTCGATGAACCGGCACTGGATGCAGGCTCGACCCCAATGGTCTGGGCACTGGAAGTTACTGGAGTGACAGAAGCTGAACCATCAGAAGCAGCCTGTTGACGACGGCGGCGGCGGCGACACTGGTCGGACGGGTTGCAGAGGGCAAGGAAATGGATTGGCTCATTGTCGTCATCGAGGATCCGGCTCCACTGCGCAAGAAGTGACCTCAGCTCAGGGAGTGTCATCTTGCTGGGATCACGAAGTGTGACGCCGGATGGAAGTGGCTCTTTGAGGTCGTAGGGCAAGTCCTCGAACGATCCATCTAGCCGGACAGCTGGGCTCAGGCTTTTCCAAGGGACGGGCTTGGTTGTTCCAGTGTCAAAGTGGTAAACAACCTCAAGGAAGGCACGTGCAAGTTCTTTGGTAGCATCGTGGCCCTTGGACAGACAATCATCGGGGAGCAGAGGATATCCGCTATTGCGTAGGTCAAGTTGTATCCGGTCGGACGCTCGCTTTGCTTTACGTGTTGCCACGGGAGTCGGATGATCAGCTGGACATTCGCCTGGCGCATCCGGTCAATATCAATGAATGATTTCACATGAGTTATTCCACTCTTAACAAGGAATCGTCGATCTATATGGTAGGAGAACTGCTTTGGCCAAGGCACTTCGTCCTTCAGACCGGAGGCCTTATCCATGTCAAAGTATACCGGATGGCGAAGATGGAACATATTTGGGTCACCGCTATAAACACTGCCAGTACTTGGGTTTTTCATTGGTACTGAACTGACAACAACAACAATCGCGAGCTTACTGAGCCACCCTAGGGTTACCATCCTTTCCTATCCACCCAATCCAGGTCACAGACTCTGCACCAAACTGACGAAGGCAATACAGGTAGTGGCGGTGTAAATAGTCGGACATCCTCTTTTGTGCCACACTACAATTGATTCGTAAGATAGTGTAATATGATGGAATCCGATAACATACCGCTTCTGAACCCATTTGGGAGCTCCCTTCTGGTTCCATTGATCCGCAAGAGTAATATACTCCTCCTTGGCCTCTGCAGTCATGTAGAACCACATGTTAGCACGCGTCCGGCTGAGGTGTCCAAGCCATCTCCCATCTTTGCCATCCTCTGGGCATGGACGAAGGTCATCTGCACTTAGCTCCTCACCCTTCTGCACCTTCTCTTCCTTATACTGTACCCACCACTCCGGCATCGCATTGATGATCATCGCCTTCTCTTTGGTGAGGAAGCATCGGAATGGCGTCCAATGCTCGAACGGAACCTGGTTCCACTTCGGAAGTGCCTTCAGCTCCTCCGGATCCGGATCCGCCATCGACCCGTTGGGATCAAAGTGTTGCCAGGTGAGCTATGGGCGTCCTGTTAGCAACAACTCCTCATCAAGCTACATGACACGCACCTTCATCGGATCCTCGTAGTCCGTCAAACCGCCGCGGGTATAAGGAAACTGCCGGATGAGATACCGGGCGAGCTTCCACGCCAAGTCATTGAGATTTTGACGTCGGATGCCAGCGTCAGCACCTCCTGCCAATATGCCCCACTCCGTCCGCCATGTCTCGAGATATCGCTTGACCTCGTCAGTGAGACGGGCGTCGATCTCGGGAGGCGCGTTTGCGTCGGGAGGTGCGTCGGGAGGTGCAGTTGAGTCGGGAGGTGCGTTTAAGTCGGGTGGCGGGTTTGAGTTGGGTGGTGGATTTGAGTCAGGAAGGGACATTTGGAGAGACAAAGGATTGTTGGGATATGTCGAGGTCACTGGTGAAGCAAAGCAGTAGGCATGTCTTATATACCGTAGAGAGTTGGGTCATCAGAATAATCTTGGCATTTGTGCTGTCACTGCCTCTTCGGCTGTTGCTTTCTCATTTATCAGGGATATCAGACAATATATAAGCGCGGGAGAATACAATGGCACCACTGAATACATGAGGATGCGTGCATATTGCTATGGCAGTCGCATGACCAATCAGAAAAGATGTAGCATCTCGTCCGACCAGACATATCTCCAAAGGTCTCACCCAGGGCCGAATATCCAGATCTGTCACTTCGGAGATTCCTGGATGGCTTTATATCGTTGGCGAGATTCACATTTAGGACTCTCCGAGACCATTGTACATTGGACACATTTCTGACATGTCCAACTGCTTGGGTAGATTGAGGCTAAAACAAAGACTTGTTATATATCCCAAAGTTGTCCGGACATATCCTGCAGGACACAGCCCCCCAAGGATATCCAGTCAAGGCACGGACGAAGATATGTGGAAGGTCCCGCCACCAGTGCTTCCGCCCTCCTCTGCGGGCCGGGTCACCGATGATGTCCAGGAGGCAAACGTCAAAGGTACAGGCACCGATATTGAAGACAATGATCGGCTTATTTGCTGTCCGGATTTGGTCTCCTCCGGGACATAGGCAGCTATAGGCAGCCGTCCGTCGATGCCGCTTGTGATTGTCTGGTGGGCACGGCGTTCTCCGGGCATCCCGATTGCCAGATTCTGAGTCCAGCTGTTCCCACTGACCACTAAATCGGAACATGAATGTCAACCCTGGATGAGATCTGTGCGATCTATCGAGAGATTCATTGTTGATGGATACCCGTCAACCCTGTGCACTTTGTCCGGATGATCGGACCGATATTGCAAACGTTGTTTGCTCGGATCTGCGGGCCTGTCATATCCGAGGCAATGGGGTTCGGTTATCTATGCCCAAATGGGTGTAAGGGCTTTGTGTGCTATGCCAATAGGCTAAAGGCTCCGGCCACACCGCATGAGATGGCTGTAATCTGATCAGTGGCCCAAGATTATATCGATCGTTGAGCAGCAACCTTCAGGCTTTCCGACACTCCTCTCCATTCTTGCAAGCTATGCCAGAGATCGGTGTACCAACGAGAAAACCGAAACCGCCAAAGACAACATATGTATACGACACAAAACAAGTCCGTGACCGGCAGGGTAATCTGGTCGTAACCCATGCTGAACGCGAAGTGAAGGAAGATCAGCCATTAGCCAATATCCCGACCGCCCCGTTACCAATGATATCACTTCCGCAGGAACACGTCCAACCTACAGCGTCAAAGAAAGCGAAGACTTCCACACCGGACACCGGAGACAATGAGACTATCATGTTCTACGGTTTTGACAACTCGGATGACATGGGTATTCCATTCGCTGAGGAGATTGAGACTGGGTCTCAAGACACTGGGAAGAAATCAAAAACAAAGGTGTGTGTCGGCCAGTAAGCTCACAGGTATGGTCATAACACAGTACATTAGGCGCAGCACGAATATCTTCGTGACTGGCAGGCCCAGCGGAGCGTCTATCTTCATACTGTGGCAGACTTGCATCAGCGATCCCTTGTTCACACTGCTCCGGACGGCGACCAGCAACTACCCATGTGTAAATGGTGTCAGAAAAGGGAGCCGACTTGGAGATGCGACGACTGCTTTGCATTTCCCGAAGGATGTCAAGACTGCTTTCGGTCCGCCCATCAGCATTTGCCCTTCCACAATGTTCATACATGGACGGGTACTCACTACGAGCCCTCTTTCCTGTCCAAGTCAGGGCTGGTCATCTATCTCGGCCATGGGGGCACCAAATGCCCGACGGCAGCTGAGGTTGGTGAAGACCGGGATGAAGGGGTAGGCCTAGGGCTCAAGGAGAGACTATCCGTCCGCCTTGGCCTCCGGAAGTCGTTCACCCGCAAGCATACTGACGGTGATGGCAACATGAATATGGTGGTCGTAGACACTAATGGCTTACATCAAATTCCGGTCAACTTTTGCCGGTGTGAAGGCAAGGTCGGCGATGATGTCCAGCTGTTGCAGCATGGTTTGTACCCAGCAAGTCAGACAGCTCCTCGGACTGCCTTTACGTTCCGGGTGCTCGATGAGTTTCTTTTACAGAACCGCGAATGTAAGGTACCGGCAATGAGTTATATCTCTCATTTGCAACGGAAGACGATGGAATCAATGCCTCAAGAGGTTCCAGTATGGTAACTTTACTTGTCGTATGGCATTCATGTCTCACCGATTTTTAGGTCCGTTATGCTGAACTTAACCGGTGTTCACAGCAATGGCGCCTGCTGAATGCTCTACTTCACCATGGAGAGCATGCCAGCGCAGTGGCTGACGGTAAGAAATCAGAGGATCACCAACTTCACCTGAAGCAAGGATCACTTGCTACTGTCTGTCCGGGTTGCCCACGTCCCCAAATCAACATGCCGGATGGATGGCAGGCTGATCCTGATGGGTGAGCTTCACAATGTCGTCGAGGACTGCCACTGATGACCGTTTTTGTCCAGATGGAAATATGGTGTCACACTCTGTATGGACGGGAACTTCAAAGCAGACCACCTCCGAATGCGCAAGCAAGTGAACGACGTTCCAATGACAGATGGAGCGGCATATATGACAGAAAGTAAAGCTTACCAGGAACATTTGCATACCTATCCGGACAAGAAGGAGGTTTGTCTGCCTATATTTTCCATATGACACAACATCATATCTGATAATCTGACAGGTATCCACTTGCAATGCACACCGCGCGGTAACACAGGCAAATCAGACACGGGGATTGCACAAGGACGTGACAGGTATCGCAGCGCTGGCTTGTGCACGGCATGGCTTCTTCATACCAGGCACTGTTGTTGACTTTCAGAAGGGAGAAAAGTTAGTCCAGACCTCTGCGCCTGATAAAGGTACTAACACCATTCATAGATTCGCAAACATTGATTGGGCGTTATGGATGGGGATCCTGTGGTATTTTGGTGTCCTCCGGGTCCTCGTTCTTTATGACATCTGGTGCATATTCGGCATTCACCTCCTGGCTCGCTTCGCAAAAAGCAACTACATGAATATCCCCTTGAACGTGACCATCATGGGTGGTATTGGTCAGTTCCACGTCCACGGACACAAGGATGCATGTGTCGCTCGATGGTCACCCGCTTACATTCTTGGTGCTGGCAATGTGGACGGCGAGATACTTGAGACACTTTGGGCAGCATTGAATGAGATCTCCCGGAGCACGCGTTCTATGACAACATCACATCGGAAGGAGGTTCTAGATGACCACATGGACGATTCAAACTGGAAGAAGCTTGTTCGGATAGGTACATTATTTCATCGGATGTGTCCGGCACCGAGAACTGACCTGACATCTTATAAGTGTTATCTCTTGCAGAGAAGTGGAAACGTGCGATCAAGGAGTTTCCAGAAGCACAGGAGGCATTTGTCGATCTCACAGCCATGGCCGGACCGGAACTTGTGGCTGTTTGGACAGCGCAGCTGGAACAAGCGCAGGCTGACCGAATGTCGGATCCGGCAGCGATGGACATCCTCAATGTCCAAGTAGATGACATGCCCACTCAGGCAGACATTCAAACCGAATTATCCACCCACGTGCGACGTGTAGCCGGACAGCTTTCAACGGTTGATTGGATTGCGGATGGCATGGAAATCCAAGTTTTACAGTACAAATTCAACTCCAATCCTTGAGACCATAGTCACTAACGTGTCCAATAAGGCTCCGAGTCAAAGAACTTGTGAAGGCTGCCGCCGGAAATGAACAGGTTGAAGCTGATCACAAGGCTAGGGAAGCCCGTCGGACGCTGGACAACCGAATGCGGGTATGGCTTAACGACGCGCCCCGCATCATGGGTTCCCTTGCATATGACATACCGGATCCGATCGCGGACGGCGGGCCAGAAGATGTGGTCCTCCCCCTGCCATCGCATTTCGGGGTCAATATCTGTCAACAGAATGATATTGCAACACTGGCCCACCAAGAAACAGAGCTGAGGCATGGCCAAATGAATGACGCAATCAATGAGGTCAAGATCCTTGTGGGCCGGAAAGCAATGGTATACACCCAAGACATCCGTTCGTCCACTGGGAGCGTTCGGAAGCGCACGCGCGCACAAGACAAGCTTGTCCGTGCTGATGATGAGCTGCATCGACATGTCAACATATATGAAACTGCACGCAAGGCTGCTGAAAGACTGGGGGAACCGGATCCGAAGTATAAGGAGCTCAAGAGCGCACATTTGGTCGCCAGAACAACATCTGTCGCTGCCAGCCTCCGAGGAACAAAGAACGAGCATTTGCCATGGTTTTGGAGGGTTGAAATTGAAAAGGCGGAGAGGGATGGAGGCTTGGAATGGATGGAAACTTGTGAGTCCTTATTGGGCAACCATCCAAGCGCTGAAATTCATTGACTGCAGTTGATCGGATCCAATGGATGAGAGCCAAATGCCGGAGAGACCGATGGCGAGAGGAAATCATCATTCTCCAAGAAGAAATGAAGCGGGTGCCGAAGTCATTTCAATATGAGGCGAACAAGTGGGCAGACCGCGTGCAGAATGGTGGAGCCGGATACTCAGCTTTTGCCCATGGACAACAAGCAAGATGGAATAACCTGAAACAGATGGCAGAGGCAACATTTGAGACCTTACCATCGGCTCCGTCCAGCATATGAACGTAGTATACATTGTAGAGATCCTTTGAGACTCATCCGAATTGCAACAACATGCAATCTATGGCTATGGACTCAATCAGAAGGACGGAGAATCTCAGATCATTGTCTATGACCTTAGTGACGATACATCCGACATCTTCGAGTAAGCAAAAATGGCTTGGACAGATTAAAGCTAAAAACGAGAGACAAGCGAGCATGTGGTCGTGCATATATCATCGGATCCGCCACTCATGGTTATTGAATCGAAGGGATGCTAGTATATTTGAAGGATGAAATGAATACATTCAAAACTCGTAATAAACTCGACGAGGGGGCATGCTCAGGGGGGCGTTGATCCCGAAGTAAAAGTTAGCCTGTCTGACGGGCGTGCCACTTGGCCCAGCCGGACGCTCTGCAACCCGCTTCTGCACTGCCTGTTGGAGGATGGTCATCCCCTGCACACCTTGACCTTTGAACGTCTCTTCGGCAGACGCGAACAAAGCACTGAGGGCTTCACCATCGACAAAGTTGAGGAGGTAATCGACCTGATCACCAAAGTCCTTGGACGCCGGAAGAACTGGCACCGGACGGGCTTGCGCCGTTGTCGAACCAGGCACCGGTGTGAGCGAGATCGGGGGCGGATCCATTGAAATTGGCAGTGCAGCCTGTACGTTTGGTCGGATGTCCTCAGTTGGCCTTGGCGCAGCCACGGGTCTGCCCGAGTCCTCCAGAGCCGGTCTCTTGGCATCCGGCTTTGATGGAGATGGGCCCGACATACGACGCTTGGCACCGGATCCGGCGTCATCCGAGGGACCAGCCATTTCAGTGTCTTCAGCAGCCTGGCGGCTGTCCGGTGTCGTCGTTGTCGTTGTCGGAGGCTTGGGTGCTGCAGGGACAGATGATGGCTGGGGCGACGGCTCTTCTGCTGCCAAAGCAGAAAAGGAGGGGGCCGTTGAGATGGATGCTGCCACACCAGCGCTGGCGGCAATGGCCGGTGAGGTGGAGGTGCCTCCAGGTAGCACAAGTGGCTCAGGAGCGGGTGGCTCAGGAGCAGATGGTTGAGGGGGAGCTGGTTGGGGAGCGGGTGTGAGACTGGGGGGAGGGTGGGTGCTCCTCTGCTTCATATCCGCCAGCATTTTATCTATGGATTCTGAAGCCACTTGTTAGCAGGATACACGGTCGAGTTGGGCATTGCGTACCTTTGGAAACAGCTGCGCCCTTTTTCTTACTCTTCTTTTTCCTCGTTTCCGTGGACGAACCAGCATCAGCCACCTGAGTCGTTGGCTCCGCCGGCGGGCGTGTCGGGACACCTAGTTCTTGACATAATCAGCATGGTTGAAGCGGGTCGAGGGCGATGGGCAACGTACCTGGTTCGGATGACATGGCAGTAGCGGTGTAGAGGGAGGGGAAGAATCCTTCATGCGATACACATCAAGAGACCCCCAATGTAGCCTCGTGTACATACACGTGTGAATTAATGTATGCAATCCGGATTCAGCCGATCGGTGTAAATAGCCCTTAAACCCCACAATCAGCCTGATCTTGCCCATTCCATAAATACCCTGACCGACGGTGCCGTAGGAAGTCTCCACCTCTCTCCATGGCGTCTGAACCTGATGACATCACTGACTGGCACGGCACAGACAATGTATCCGAACCGGATGAGATCCCTGATTGGCCAGGGGCGACCGGCATTTTGGTTAGGCTTTGCAATCCGGTGCAATCAATGGACAGGAGGTTCAGGTCATCTTTTTGTCGGAACCTCAGTTCATTGCTGAAGACTATCGGACCATCCGAGTGGATGGATACGGATCTAACAAATTGGTCGCTGTCTTAGGCATCCGCATGCATGCCGCTTACTTGTCTTTATTGAGCAAAGCACCTGCGCTGGACGTGTTCATGTCGGATTGGATTGCTGAATCGGTATGTGGCATCTCATCCAGTTATGATTGCTGACACTATATAATCATCGGAAGCTTATGGCTTGCAGTGTTATGAGAGTGTTCCAAGCTTACCGGATCCCTTACGTTTTACCACCCATCCTCCGACTCGCGTTCACACCTGGTACCGACCCGACCATGGAGGACTGGTTCGATGACATTGCAGAGGCCCATCAAAACTGGATGTCGGCTAATGCGGCCGCTAATTACAACTATGTCGGACATTGGCGCTGGTGGGAGCATTTACGCCCGGCTAGAGAACCAACCCTATTGCCAAGCAGGAATAGAAGGTTACTGACGTGTCCAAGGGCTGAACGAGAGGCAGCACGCGCCGGGGCAAGCAGGCTAAGGGACGGTCCGCCTCGCACAGGGCGGCAGCGGGAGGACTGGAACACCAGCCTTTGCGACTACTTCATTGATGATGAAGCAGAAGAGGCCGGATCGGACGAGGATTTGGACGCAGAAGCTGAGGACCAGTCCGGTGGCAGTGACATTGAGTACATTGGAGATGCGGTTGGCTCCGACATTGAATATATCGGGACAAGGGTAAGTGTTGAAGCCTCACTCTATCCGGCTACATGCTTACTTCTTAGTTGTGTATCCAGCGTGCTTCCATCAATGCTGATTCCCCTGGCATATCACACATGACTTTAGTCAGCTCTCTTTCGTCGTTTCCTGATGATCTATTGCCAATCGCAACACCGGACGTGCATCACAATTGGACCCAACACAGCACCCTAGCACGGGCTGCTATACTACATGACCAAGATGAGCTATCCGACTACCTGCCAACGTCCGATGATGATCTGTCCTCCGATGAAGGTAAGCTTTCTATTATTCTACTCCATCCGACAATTCAAATATAAGTATAGATTCCACAACTGATTACTTGGATGAACTGGAAGAGATGGTGGCGAGGCTCAAGGAGTCAGCCCTGGAAACGTCATCTTTGCTTAATGAGTACCGTTGGGCACATTAGGATACACACTTTGCATAGACGATGATCTGAGATTCTCCGCCCTTCTCATTGGGTGTTTATCCCCAGGATATGCCGGACATAACCCCCAAGGATGTCCGGTCAGCAGATGGGAGGGAGAGATCGAAGGTACCGCCACCGAGGTCATAGACGATGATCTGAGACTCTCCGCCCTTCTCATAGACGATGATCTGAGATTCTCCGCCCTTCTCATAGACGATGATCTGAGACTCTCCGTCTTTCTTATTGGGTGTTTATCCCCAGGATATGCCGGACATGACCCCCAAGGATGTCCGGTCAGCAGATGGGAGGGAGACGTCGAAGGTACCGCCACCGAGGTCATAGACGATGATCTGAGACTCTCTGCCCTTCTTATTGGGTGTTTATCCCCAGGATATGCCGGACATGACCCCCAAGGATGT